AGGGACACCACCTGTCACTTTTGCCCACACAGAAAGGTAATGCAGAATTCGGATTGATACTAATTTTTCTAAGCACTTTGTAGGTGCTTAAAGGTACTGGGAAAGATTTGCATTTCAAATACAGGCATTGAGACAGTGAACACTGCAATAGTCATGTGCCTGCCCCTAGATGCTGTATCTACAATGCCATTTTAAACGCTGAAGTCCCTGTATTTAGGCACTCCACGGGAATAGCGTGCTGAGGACTGGAACATGTAAGCTGACCAAAACAACAGAAAATACCAAAGGAGACCATCTCTGACTTAATCTCTCACCTAGACTTAAATGCTTGTTTGAGTTCTGCTACCACAGACAGCTCCGTGAAACTGGATTTCAGAGTCTCAGACCTTTTTCCTCATTTTATGCAGCTAGATCACAGCTTCTCCTGAAACATAACTGTCAGAGGAGCAGAAGGAAGGGGAGGATGTACCACCCAGTTTCTGCATAACAAACAAGTGGCTAGAGGATGCATCCAGGGACTGAAGTCCCTGAATCTAAGTAAATCCCTGGTTCACGGTTCCAGAAAAAATTTTCCTTGATTCCAGGCTGTAGACAAAACTGCAGATGGAAGATCACTCCATCTGTCCCACTCAAGCTGGATCACTAGAAAGGGAGGAGTGTCACTGGTACCTAAATACATTTTAAATCTGGTTGTTGAATCCTCTGTTGAAATCGTGTAGACTGTATGTGAGCGTACATACATGATTTGCCTCGTAGGCCTTCCCTTTAACCACAAGATTATCCTTCCATTCTTTGTGGTGCCAAAAGGATCTTATTTTCTCATAAAACTGATCGATCTTGTCACCAGTGGTTGTTTATTACATGCAGGTGCTAGGAAAGAAATGAGTAGTGAAGATAAATTTGACTGATGAGTAAGTACATAGAGATTTGCTGCCTACACTTTTTAGTTTCTGCTTTTTTTGTGAGCAATAGCATGGTTGATATAAATAGCAACAGTGTTGTTATCTCTGAGTGTTTCACTAGAACTACCCAAACTTTTACTTGTGAAGTCAGGAATTACCTCTTAAGTTCGACTGTTTGGCTGAGGTTTCTTAAACAAAACTGCAAAATCCATTTTGTTTTTCACAGAGAGGTGGGATTGTAATACTTGTGTTTCTGAGTATTGATATTCTGGATTTGGTTTGCATATAAAGTGTTACGGCTGGTGGAAGAACAGAAGAAATTCTTCTTTGCTCTGCTTCCAAGTGCATTAATTTGATATTGGTAAATAGTTGGAATTGCCTGAGAGATGGCTTTCTTTCACACACCTTATCTTGGGAAGACAGTGATGGACAAGGCACTGAAAGCACTAGAGGCAATCCAAAGGCAGATGTTTATTTAAAAGTGATTGATCCATTCAGAGGGCTTGAAATTGAATTTGAAATCCTGCACTCCTTTGACTGCTGGTACTTCAAGGAGAACATACTGGGGAGCTGAGAAAGGCGATTTGTGTTTTCCCACAACTGCAGCCAGGCATTTGGATTAATAGACCTTTTTTTCAGTTGCAGCCCCAGCCCTCTTTCGGACTCCAGCGGCTGGTTTCCGTGCATGCGCCTTCCCCCTCCCTGTGCCAGAGCAACAGCTGGAGTGGCTGCAGGAGTACACTTGGCTGGGGAACTGATTTGGCTGGAAATAACTGTTGTCTTTCAGCAGGTTATTTGTCATCTGGGCCAGTTCCCCCATCCAGTTCTTCGCATGGCCTTGGGGCCCCGATGCTAACACCACAGGAAGGGCTGAACTGGAGCAGGGCTGAGCTCCCCGGGGTGGCATAGGCTGCTTAACCTGGGCTGCTGCCAGATATCTTGCTGGGACCTGCGGCCATGTTAACCACACCTCTGAGGATGTGGCTGCTGCTGTTTATGCAGCCCTAGGGAAGTGTTAGGCTGTCCAGAGGGCAGGAGTGGGGGCTGCAGCTCAGAAACGTGGAGCTCTATTGAAGTTGACAGGGCTGTGCTGATTTATATTAGCTGAGGACCTGGTGCATGCTTTCTGTATGTCTCTCTGCATGTTTATGCCACTTTCATCGCCACTAGTGATTTTTATAAAATATCCCTCTGCCTCTCCACTGCCTCCCTTTCTTCCTGCTGCTGGGCATCTCTGCCTCTGCCATGCAGGGACTGGAAGGTCGGAGGGTCTCTGACAGTGGGAAAATGAGCAGCACAGACCCCAGCAAGGACCTTTGATCCCTCCTGTATTCAGTGAGGAAATTCAATTTCACTGGATGCTGAGGAAAGTGTCTCAGACTATGGTGGTCATGGCAGGAAGAGGGCTCCTGAGTAGCCGAGGCCAGTTTGCCTTTCTGTAGGTAAGAAAAGAAAAAAAGTCAGGCTAAGCTGAGGTGCTCCATGGGGTGTGGGGCCTGGCAGAGAAAGCAGTGGGAGCCCTGAAGCTCCACCGTGTCCTGCTGCACCCCTGGGCAGGGGGTGCCTGGACCCCTCACTGTGGCTTACTGCTCTGTGAGGCGGTGAGCTCTGGGGGATCTCCAGGTGTCTGCATGATACTGTGTTACTTCTGTGCTTCAGAGTTCCCTGCTTGTGCCCAGTGAGAGCCCTGAAGCAGTGTTTTACTCCTTTCTGTAGTACTTGGCTTCTGGATATGCGTGAGGATATTGACTGTCCTTGGTGCACTGGAGGCTGGACACAAGCATAGGGATGTGATGCTGGTAGAGAAAAGCACTTATGCTTCACTGGCTTTAATCTCAGATTTCTCCTTCAGTTGTCATGCTGGCATACTATGGGTTAAACTGATCCATAGGTCAGGGTGGGAGGGATTTTCCCCCTCAGGCTGTTTGTCAGAGGTTTCTTTTGCTCTCCTTCATTATCCATAACAGAGGTCACATTGGATGCCCTCTGGCCCCAGCCTTTTCACTCTCTTGCCCTTTCCTAAGGCACAAGTTGCAGCTTTCGATCGGTTGTGGCAGGGGGC